CCTCCCTCCCTTCCTTCCTTCCTTCCTTCCTTCCTTCCTTCCTTCCTTCCTTCCTTCCTTCCTTCTTCCCTCCCTCCCTCCCTCCCTCCCTGTAGGGCTGCCCTGAGCCATTCATTTCCCTGGGAGGCTGGGAAGCTGAGGCCTCTTGACAAATAAGTGGGGGAGCTGCCGACCTTCTTAGCTGGTGATTGGCCCTAAGCAGACTTCCCTTTCTCTCCCAGCCGGAGAACATACTGTGTGTCAACCAGACAGGACACCAAATAAAGATCATTGACTTTGGGCTGGCCAGAAGGTAAGGGGTCTATTGGCACTTAGAATCCGTTGGGACTCTTTCTGGCTCGCTGGGCACGGTTACCCACAACTCAGCCAATTTTTGATTTTTACATTTTTTAAATTGATGCTTTATTTTTTTAGAGCAGTTTTAACATCACAGAAAGATTGAGGGGCAGAACCAGGTTTCCCATAGACCCTCTGCCCCACACATGCACCCAGCACGGAGCCAGCCCCCACCCAGCCTCCACCCAGCCTGCGCTCCTGCTATATTCACCTTCTCCCTTCTCGCCTGGTGAAGGCCTAGAGCGGGGGCTGTGGTTTCTGGTTCTCCCTGGGGACCCAGCAAAGCCTGAGGTTGGGGCCTGGGGAGTGAGGATTCCCCAGGAAACCCCATGTGTGGGCGCATGTGGGGTCCGGCAATGCCTGGCCCGCACCGGGATGAGTCCCAGCCTCCGTATCTACCTGAGCCGACTCCCCCCTTCCCCCCCATCCCCTCTCCTCTCCCCCCCTCCCCAGGTACAAGCCGCGGGAGAAACTGAAGGTGAACTTCGGCACGCCCGAGTTCCTGGCCCCCGAAGTCGTCAACTACGAGTTCGTCTCGTTCCCCACGGACATGTGGAGTGTGGGCGTCATCACCTACATGCTGTGAGTGCGGGGTGGGGGGGCAGCGTCCTAGCGCGGGTGTCCTCCGGCAGCAGAAGTTGGAGTGTGAGTCGGCTGGTGGGGGCGTGGGCAGGAGACACGGGAGAGGTGGGAGGAGAGGTGGAAGGCCGCAGTGAGCGGGTCACATCCCCGTGGGCAATGCTTTACTCCCTAAGGCGGCCTCTGTCAGGTACACCGAGCATCTCAAACTCCAAGGCCAACACGGGCCACAGAAACGAGGCATGCGGCCCGCGGGCCGAGAGTTTGACATGCTTGATGTACACAGGTCCTCAGTTACTCCACCCAGGGGTCGGGGTAATTATTCACCAACTCTTTATTTTTTTAGTTTTTGTTGTTGTTGTTAATCCTCACTCGAGGATATTTTTTTCCATCAATTTTTAGACAGAATGGTGAGCCGGGGCGGTGGGGGGGGCGGGAGGGAGAGAGAAGGAGAGAGAAACAACAATGCGAGAGAGACAACATTGATTGGTCCAGACCAGGGCCAAGGCCAGAATCGAACCTGTAACCCAGATATGTGGCCTTGGCCGGGAAGGGAGCCAGCAACCCTTTGGTGTGCGGGCTGGCGCTCTAACCACTGACCACACCGACCAGGGCTGCTCACCAACTTGTAAGCAGTTATGGCTGGGGGGCTGATCCCAGGGGCCTGAATTCCTGAAATTCTGGATTCACTGGGTTGAAAGGACAGGCAGGTGGACTGTGCAGGTGGGCGGGGGTGCAGTGAGGAGTGGGCAGGGCGGGACCCTGGGCTGTACCTCTGCCCCACCCCGGTGCTCCCAGGCAGGGGCGCTGGGCTGGGAGATGGGGCACAGACTACACAGCCTCTTCTGTGGGACGTCCCCCACTGTTTCCTGGCCCAGGAAGCCATGCTTTGCCCCGGCCTTGTCATTGTGGCAGGACTGGGACCGTGTCCCCACACCGTGTGCTGCGCCAGGCAGGGAAGTTTGAGGCCCCAGGCTGGCCCCTGGGGGTGCCCTGCCTCTGCCTTTGCTCCCGAGGCCTGGGGAGAATCTGACCCCTCTGGCTGCCTCAGAGGCACGCTAGCTCTTTATTTATTTACTTTTATTATTTTTACTTAAAAAATATTTTTATTGACTTCAGAGAGGAAGGGAGAGGGAGAGAGAAACATCAATGATGGGGATCATTGATTGGCTGCCTCCTGCTCCCCCCTACTGGGGATGGAGCCGCCAACCTGGGCAGATGCCCTTGACTGGAATCGAACCCAGGACCCTGCAGTCTGCAGGCTGATGCTCTATCCCCTGAGCCAAACCGGCCAGGGCTATTTATTCTTTTCAAATATGTTTTTATTCATTTTTAGAGAGAGAGGAAGGGGGAGGGATAGAGAGAAACATCATCGTTTGGCTGCCTCCGGCACGCCCCCCACTGGGCATGTGCCTGACGGGGAATCCACCCGTGACCTCCTGGTTCCCGGTCAGGGTTCAGCCCTGAGCCTGCGGCCGGGCCTGAGACGCTGCGCTGCTTCAATTCAACCAAACGCACCTGGTAATGGGCGCATCGGTGGGCCGGCTGCTCCCCACCTCAGGGTGCGGGGCCAGGCGCTGCGC